CACGGCCCCCTCCCCCAATTCTCCATCCCCTTCCCTCCTGGTCTCGGAGGACCCCGTCCTAGCCCGACCCGTCTCGGCCCGCAACCTCCGCGAAGCCGTCGGTGCCACTCCCCGCCCATGTGGGCCCCCGCGAGCTGCCCACGCCTGTCCCCCAGCTCCCGGTTCCGCTGGGCTTTCCCCTCGCCGGGGGTGGCTTTCTGAGCCGCCCGCTCCGCGTCCCTCTCTGCAGCCTTTCCTGCCACTCGGGGCCCCCGTTCCCCCTCCCGGCGGCGGGGGGCTGCCCCCGGGGGGCTGGCGGAGCTGGGCCGCGGGGGCCCCGGGGCCGGCGGTGCCGGGGTCATCGGGATGATGCGGACGCAGTGTCTGCTGGGGCTGCGCACGTTCGTGGCCTTCGCCGCCAAGCTCTGGAGCTTCTTCATTTACCTTTTGCGGAGGCAGATCCGCACGGTGAGCCGGGGTGGGCGCTGGTGGTGGGAACCCAGGTCAGCGGTGCTCACGGGCTTTTGGGAAGTGTCGGGCCTCTGCTTGGGCTTCGGAACAGAGTCCTGGCGGCGGCTTTTCCCGTTGGAGAATTGGGGCACCCTTAGCTGGGCATGGGGTGGAATGGGGAGGGGGGAGACCCTTGCAGTAGAACCGAGATGGGGGGGCTAGCGGGGACAGGATTTGGCAACTCTTGGGGGCTGGGGTGGTGGGTGGGGCGCCGTTTAAGAAAGCGGGAGTTGTTGTTAAAGAAACCTAGAGGAGGGAACACCTGTTTGATAGCACCAGCCCTGCCGACGTGAGCTTGTGGAAGACCCTCCGTGGGTACTGGGTCTCGTAACAAGAAAGAGCCGGGCTTGTGTGTCAAGGGTAGGGGTGGGTGGGAGAGCGTATGTGACAAACAAGGATGGGAACTTGGGAAAAGCCTTGGGTGTGAAGAAGAAACCCCTGCGGTTTGCATTAAGGGGACTCCTCCACAAACGCCCTGGAAACTTATTTCAGAGTGTGGGTGTCTGGATTTATTGAGACCCTGGGACTAAGAAAGATGCTTTCACGTTGGGCTTGAGGGAAGGGGGTCTCTGTGGGAAGATGGGCGCTTGTCGTTGTGGACTTGAACTGGGGGGCACGCTTGCCTCTCCAGGAAACCCCAGCACTGTGAGGGACACTGGGCAGTGAAGTGCCCAAGTATCTCCGGGTTCCCTCCCCAGAGCTCTTCTCCAAGGTCAAAGCTCCGTAGGCTAACATCATTTAATGAATGTGCTCTTGTGTTCTCACCACTGGGGAGAGTCCTCTGAAAGGAGTCTGGGGAGAATTCAGTGCGCTGAGGTGCAGAAGTTCTCTGGTCTGTCCTCTTTGATGTCCCTCAATAAAACTTGGAAGAGTAAAAGCAGCCAGGGCCTGCTTCGGCCAGAAAATTTCCAGAGGGCCCTGGGTGGTGGTGGTGGTGTTGACATGCTGACTGGGGGGAGTGGGCCTGGCCTCGAATTCGGTGTCTCCTCTTCCACTTCCTGATTTAGGGTGAGAATTGTTTCTGGGTGGTCATAGTTGTAGGCAGGGCTAGTTCCCTCAAACACCTTAGCAGCCAAGAAGAATTTGGGGTCAGAGATGCTGAGATGTGTGTGGGGCTGGCTCCTGGGGTTTTCTTTACATGTTAACTCCTGTCCCCTCTGCCTGGCCTTGCTCTGAGCACACCCCATCCCCCGCCAAATTTCTGTTCTGGGTGCAGGGAGTAGTGCTCCAGACCAGATGCTAGTTACTTGCAAAATTGCTCTCCTCTGGGCAGCACTCACCCCACAGCCTTTTGTCTTCCCTTCCTTCCCTTCCAGTCTGGTTTCTCCCCCAACCCCCCACCCCACCCCCTCTCTGGCAGATGCTGGGAGCATTCCCTACATGCCCAGCATGTGCAACCCGAGATAGCAGGGCAGGACACCCGAGCTGTCGCGGCCCTCATCCCTGCCCTCATCCCTGCCCAGGGAGAAAAGAAGGGCAGATGCAGATGCCTTGGCATTAGGGGGAGAGGGGCCCTGTGGTTTGCAAGGGGGGAGCCTGGTTCTGGTGAGGCTGGGGCCTAGGGACGGACTGAAGAGCATTTGTCTGTGCTGAGAAGAAAAGAGCAGAGGAAGGGATCGCCAGGCTTGCATGGGAGAGATCTGGGTGCTAGAAATAGGAGCCTCTAGAGGAGACCTGGAGAAGCTGGAAGGTTGAGGTGGTGACGTCCTTGTCCCTTCCTCACCTCCCTCACGGCCCTTACTTCACCCTGGCCTTCCCAACACCCTATCAGTCATCCCGGCGGGTGGGGCTTTCCAGTGCCGTGTGTGCCCTGCTCTGGGTACCGGAATAAGGAGGCAGGTCAGAGGGCTGAGGTTCTCTGCCACTTGTGACTTGGCTGGTAGAGACAGAAGTGGACAGGTGGCTGGTTAAAATAGGCCTGGTGGCCGCCAGCCAGAGGAACTTAGCTGACCTGACAACCCCTGGATTCCCTCATCCTCCCTTCCCCTTAGGTACCCAAGGACCTCCTCTCCTGACTCCTCCTCTCAGCCCACGAAGGAATCTGAGGCTCTCAGTTCCCAAAGGGAGGTGATGGGGACTTGTCACAAAGGGTCCTTGGGGTGGACGTGCGGAAGGCCATGCATTTCTTGGTCGTGGCACAGCGAGACAGTATCATGGTCAAGAGGGCAGGTGCTTGGGTCGGACGGCACAGGAACCAACCTGGCACCACCACCACATCGACCCGGATGCTGACTGAGCGGCCTGTGACAGTTCTCGGAGTACAGCCGTGATCGAGACGACATGCGTGCTCCTGCCGAGTTTTCGTTTTAACTAGGGGGACAGACAACCAAATAAGAAAACTCCTAGCTGTGTGGGCTTACGTGGTCCTGGCTAAGTCTTGGGCTCTTCGTTGTTTAGAGATGATGATAGCGTATTATTCTTAGATCATTCTTGCTGGGGTTTTGAGGGTTCAGTGAAATATTCTGCATTTACCTCCACGATGCTCGGCACACAGTGTTTCTTGTCAAGATCTCCTTGTCAAGGGTTCTGATCCCCTCTTTTGCTATTTTTAGATAATTCAGTACCAGACTGTTCGATATGATATTCTTCCCTTATCTCCTGTGTCCCGGAATCGGCTAGGTGAGCGTGCTGGCTGGGAAGACTCCTTTAAGGGGAGACAGGGTTTAAGATGTGGGCTGGAGGTTGATTGGTATTGGTTGTGGTTCAGGTCAGGTGAAGAGGAAGATCCTGGTGCTGGATCTGGATGAGACACTTATCCACTCTCATCACGATGGGGTCCTGAGGCCCACTGTCCGGCCTGGAACGCCTCCTGACTTCATCCTCAAGGTGTGTGGGGGATGGTCATGTCTTACTCGGCTCCCACCTGGACTTCCTTTCCCAATCCCAGAGCGTCGCGTCCCTGTCCCCCATCCTCTGGCACCTGTAGCAGCCTCAAGGAGGGGAGCGGGCAGTGGGAGGGCGGGGGTGTCCTTTCGGCCTGTGCTCTGGTGCTCAGGACAGCCCCCAGCCTTTCCCTGTTGATCTACAGGTGGTAATAGACAAACATCCCGTCCGGTTTTTTGTACATAAGAGGCCCCATGTGGATTTCTTCTTAGAAGTGGTGAGTTCGCAGAAGTTAAGGGGAGCTCTGTGAGGAAGGAATGGTTTCAGGGCTCTGGGAATTTAGACGACTCGGTGGAAGTAGGGGCTGAGGAAGAAATGGGTACGGGCGGTTTTGGAGAGGGGAGGTTGTGGGACAGCCAGAGCATGGATGGCTTTCTGTAGTTTGGGTTCATGTGCTGATGTAATTCCGTTCTTCCACGGGCTGCCTGCTCGTTTGTTCTTGCAGCTCTGAATCTTAAGGGTGTGTGGTGCCTAAGACTCTGAGTTTGGGGGCCTTCAGAGACCTTTGTTGTTGTTGAGAGGCCAGAAGGACTGGGCTGGAGTCCTAGCGAAAGAGAACCGTGTGTCTAGAGGAATGGTCACCTCTTCTAACACCTGCCTCTCCCCTGCTCAATTTCAGGTGAGTCAGTGGTACGACCTGGTGGTGTTCACAGCAAGCATGGAGATTTACGGCTCCGCTGTGGCAGATAAACTGGATAATAGCAGGAGTATTCTCAAGAGGAGATACTACAGACAGGTAAGGGGCTGCCCTGCCGAACGAAGAGGAAGCTTGGGAGGCAGGCCACCAGGGAGGGATCTGAGTTTGAGGCAGCTGCCCTGGAATGGGACCCTCTGGGGGGTGAGGGGAGGCATATCGCATGACCCCCGTGGTGGGAGTTGGCTGCCCATAGGCATTGTTGGGACCGGGCTGCGGTCACAGGGACGAGTCTCCTCTTGATGCCCAGCTCGCCCTACCTTCCAGCACTGCACTTTGGAACTGGGCAGCTACATCAAGGACCTCTCTGTGGTCCACAGCGACCTCTCCAGCATCGTGATCCTGGATAACTCCCCAGGGGCTTACAGGAGCCACCCAGGTATGGGAGAAGGTGGCGGGTCTGGCAGGACCAGGAAGTTCTGAGGAGGGATTCTGAAAGCCTGGAGCTGGGATGCCTGGTTTACTGTGGGTCAGGATGCAAGGTGTTTCTCTTTCATGTGAGACATTCTCCTCCCTCCCACGTCCATTTCGTAGATCACATTTCTCCGACTAAATTTGCTTCACGTGAAGCACAGTGGTAATGACTTTGCCTAGGAGCTTCACGCTAACATGAAGTACGGTGACTAAAAGTTGATTTTATTTTGGAGGATGAATCCAGAAGGTTTTACTTAGGTTGCTGGGTTTGGGTGGGTTGGGGAGAGGAACATATTTTAAAGTAACGATCCCCATCCCCAAATAAAAGAAAAATCAGCCTGTCTGTTGAACTCTTTTTTCTCACGTGCATTTATTTTTACCCGCCCTAGACAACGCCATCCCCATCAAATCGTGGTTCAGTGACCCCAGCGACACCGCCCTTCTCAACCTGCTTCCGATGCTGGATGCGCTCAGGTAAGGGAAGTTAGACACTTAGATTTCTGAGGAAAGGAGGTGGGGGATCCCACGAGGGAATAAAAGTGTGTCCTGTTTGACTTATTTCTCTCTTTTCCCTTAAGAACTTAGCATTTGAACCCAGGCTTTCTTACAGTAAAGCTCATCACTTTTAGCCAGTGGGGTTTTGGGCAATCCGGGCCTCTGTTTCATGTCAAAATGGTGATCATTTCTGCCCCACATCTCCAATGAGGCCACCTACGACTAGTGTTGTGAGGATATCAACCGTAAGGACTCTACCAATTCAAGTTCTTTTCGTCCCAGGTTCACCGCTGACGTTCGTTCTGTGCTGAGCCGAAACCTTCACCAACACAGGCTCTGGTGACAGCTGCTCTCCCCCCACCTGAGCCGGGGTTGGGGGGACGGGGGTGAGCCCTCGCGGTGCCGTCTGCTGCCCTGTCCAGCGGTGAGGACTGTGTGGGCAGGGTCTGCCCCTCCCGTCCCTCTCTGCCCTGGGAGCCCTGCACTCCCTGTGGAGTCTGGATGGACACGTGGGCCGGACTCTGAAGCAGCCTCACTCGAACGTCGAGTTCGTGCTCCCTGGAAACCCCAGACTGGGACATAAGCGGAGGCCTAGGAGAGCCGAAACTGTCTGGTGGAGAGACAGGACCGGCCAGAATGACACACAGACGTTCGGTAATCCGGGAGGCTCAAAGAAAAGCCAAGCGAGCTTTGTTGTGATTTGATTTTTTAAAAACTCTTGTACAAAACTGATCTAATTCTTCACTCCAAGGGCTGGGCTGTGGGTGGGAAACTGGGATTTTTGGGCCACTGGATTTTCCCCAAACTTGTCCCTTCCCTCCCCGCCCCCCACTTATCCCTCTATTTTCCCTTCTTCCTAGATTCCCTTAGACCTGTAACCAGCTTTCTCTCTCTCTCTCTCTTTTTTTTTTTTCCTTCCTCTCTTTTAAACCATGCATTATAACTTTGGAAACCAAAGCTGCCCTAGGTCCTTCTCTCTGGGTTGGGAAATGAGGGGAGGAGCCTTTGTTCACATCCACCCTGTCCCCTGAGCAGAGGGGAGAGACCGCGGCAGGAGGGGCAGGCGGGCTAAGGGTGGGGGAGAGATGCTGCTGGCTTTGGGGAAGGAGCAGGGAACCTCGACCTCAGGTGCTTTGGCGGGAAGGGTCTCAGCCACGGGATGGGTGCCCTGCTGGGGAGTGAAAGGACAGCCGTGTGTCCCGAGGGAACCTGAGCGGCAGGGCAGTAGGACACAGCGGTGCGAAGGGAGGAGAAAGCTGGGCCACAAACCGGAGGGGCGGGACTTCGCCGGGGGACCGACGTGGACAGGGCAGGCGGCCGCCGCCGCAGGGCGCCCCAGCCCTCCGGGGCCGCGTCCGCCTCCCCGCCG